TTTTGTCATTGTATACTGTGTTCTGAAATAGAATACCTTTAATATACAATGCGACACGATTTATTTTTATTTTCCTAGAAGCGTAATATTCTAGCGTTCATATTTTAAAGTCGCCTTGAGAATCTGGGATCTGTGTAAGTCACCACAAGCTTCGTTATGCAAACCGCACGCAGTAAGTTACGTTATAGGGCGTTTCTTTGCAAAAAAATTGAGAACAATGAAAATTGAACATTATGGTAGTAAAAAAATCATGATTTTTAATAATCTTAATATTACAATTGTTAAAGCGACATCTTAAGTTAGCTGCTGGTAGCTGTAAAAGAAAATGTCTGAGTGAAGAAAAACTTTCATAGATTTCTCACAGATGGCGCTACGGCAAAAAGTCATTAAAAACCAAAAACAAAGATCTGACCTGTTCCGTGGCTCAGTTGAGTGAGCGTCAGCCACGGTACGGTGAGGTAGCTGCTTCGAGTGCAGCCGGATCGAAGGTTCAAGTGGAGATTTTTAGATGATTTTAACCCAGATTGTATGTGATATGCGGTTCAAACGATTATCCGCCACATATCGTGCCTTGTGTGGCCTAACATCTGCATGTAGTATATACATCCCTTGCCATATAGTCCATCCAATGTGCGCTTGGCCATGTAACTAGGAAGGGAACATTAGAAGAGGAAGGTCATGATGACGTACTCGGATCATACAGAGAATGTTCTTAAAAATACTGGCATAGTGAGAAGAATTAATAATAAATAAAAAAAGAAAAAGTAATATAAGTGAAGTAAGAGAGGTTAGCTAGGATCACGCAAATTGACGAATCAATAGTGTAGCATGTAATCTTCATCACTGCATGGCGGCTGGCATACATGTTATTATAATACAAACTAGATTTAAGTACAATTTGCTATGCATGCTCTCTCTCTCTTTCTCTATATTGTATATATAATACACACATTATACATAATATATATATATATATATATATATTTTGTATATATATATATATATATATATATATATATATAATCTTCCAAAACTAAACTCAACGATAACCCGAGAACAGGACATTGCCTAGGTTAGTTTAGCCTAAATATTGTATGCAAATTAGCAGTGGCGCGGCTGCAGCGCTACAGTGGCGCCACTGTAGTGTTTCTATAAGCTTCTAATTTGAAGGCGTCCTTTGTATTTGCTACGATCCTGACACACATAAAGCATCAATTATGATAAAAGCGAATGAATTAATCTTAGATATTAATTAGTTCAATTTTGTGTTAATTAATTGACTTTTATTCAAAACCCTGTTTGTAAACTTCCCAAAATATAAAGATATTTCTATTGCGAAGTAATCACATAATTGTTAAGTCACTCCCAAGGTTCAAGAAAATAATTTTGTTAAATTTATTAAAACGAGATTGTTCGGGTCGTCTTCGACGCCTCGTCCGAATTGCGTTGATAAATTCGCGATTTTCGTATAATTCACTTGGTTAAAACAAAGCTTTGTAAATATTTTGAATGAAATAATAACAGAGTCAATTATTGATTCTAAATGTTCATCCGTTATTAACACTCGCAGTTTTGTTTTTATCTCTTATTGAGATCTTAGGTTTTCGCGATTGTTACACATAGAAAAAGAATCTGTTTTTTTTTCGGATCTAAATCACGTATATTTGTTTTTTCAAAGTTAAATTTAAAAAAAAAATTAGATCCCAAAAAAAGTTTCATTTCCTATATTTAATCTTGTGACAAAGGAATTATAATAAAAATTTGTGTCGATCCGCAAGTAAAGGTGTCTTCAAAAGAGGAGGAGTTTCTTAATTCGACTGTATTCCTTTCGGGTGTATGTTACGCGGTTTGTGAACCGATTTTGATGATTTTTTTTTGTTGGTAAGACGGTATAAAAATTTGTGTCGATCCGCAAGTAAAGGTGTCTTCAAAAGAGGAGGAGTTTCTTAATTCGACTGTATTCCTTTCGGGTGTATGTTACGCGGTTTGTGAACCGATTTTGATGATTGTTTTTTGTTGGTAAGACGGTACATCAGTATTTTTGTTGGAAAGAGGGTACCTCAGCAGCTCGTTAAAAAGTGAAAAGGTAATCTTCAAAAGCAACAATTATAACAAATACCCTTGGCTACAAGTAGACAATAAAAGATCCCATAAAAAAATTCACTAACGAGGAACGTTACGTGGAAAACGACAATTTGATAATTCGTTATTAAATTACGTTGAAACAAAAAAGCAACACTTCAACGGTAATTGTATTGTTTTTAAAAACAAGACATAACAACATAAAGTTTTCTAATCCTAGAGTAAATGAAATACCACTACATACACACATAACATACCTACATATAACATAGGTATACCTTTGAGTATTGTACAAAGTGTCAAGTACCAGTTTGAGTAGGTACTTAATGTAATCTGTATTAAAATTATAATAATTTAAGCATTACTTTTATTTAAATTCCTATATCTGTCAAGAAATGTGGAATTTTGAGACTGCTTCTACAAGCGTCTAATTTAGTGGTGGCGGCGCCCAAAGACTGTGGTCTCTGCCTAACCTATGGAAAAAGGATGTGAAGTGTATGTACGTATCTATACAGAATGAACATAATACATTTACCAAAAATAAATGTTTAAAATTTTTTAAATTTTTAAGTTTATGTTGTAGGTACTATCTAACCCTTTTTAGATCTGTTTGAACTTAATAAATAATTACGTTCAAACGTGCAAGGGTCCCCCACCCGCGCTTCAGCATTTTGCTCAGATTATTGTGTTATAATAACAAATGATACAATTCATAAACATTATTGCAACATAAAGGAAAATTCCTTCTATCTAATTCGATACGAACCAGCGTCTGTTGCCACACCGGGGCCACCGCTAATACCACTGAGCTACAGACCGAATCAATATAACAATAAGAACGTCATGACATTTAATATATATAATTATAGATAATTTGGTAATTTCACAAGTTCTCTCCCACCCATTACAAGCATTGGGACTAAAGTTTTTTAAACTAAGTAAATAAAATATAATTAATAACATTACAACATTGACGTTGTGACATGTAACGAAATATAAAAAACTAAACCATTTAATTCAAATTGTAACGTCATTGCAATACTGCCTAATTTTGCTTGCAACAATTTAAGTGCCAAAGAACACGATATTCGGCGTCTACTGGAAACTTAACAAAATGCACCATATTTAGCTTCGACTGAAAATTACTTGAACACAAGAGTAATGGAGTAGCCTTTCTCCTAAATGTTAATTAATTTTCATATATATTATTATGTCGAATTTTGTACAAATTCACTTAAAGAAATAATAAAGAGTTGGGCAGATACATACATACTAATAAACTAATATTACTACAAATGTGAAAAAGTGTGAAAAAGCGTGTACTATAAGAAATGTACCGATATTCCAACTAAACGTAAACTCAAATATCCGTAATTCCGAAAACCGATTTATAATAAAACCGTTACGCTTTCAAGTAATTTTGATGCTTTTGTTTTGTAATATTCCTAAAAAAATACATTTGACATTATGAAAATTCGAGCTAACGTTATTTCGGGCAAATGTATTTTCTGACTTCTGATAGGTAATCCCTAGCCGTAAAACGAGTACAACAATGTTTTGTTAGTTATTGCTAAAATTTAATAAAAAGTCATTTTAAAAATAAGATTATAATCAACACGACTCTATAGTTTCTTTGTTCGAAATATTTCAATCGCTTATGGTTCGAACATTTGAAAATGACCAAGAAGTTTATATACGCTTCTTGAAATTGACGTAATGGGTCTCTTTCCATCTTTTGCGCATGCAATGTGTAGAAAAAGGACAGTTAGCGATTTAATTATTTTGTTTGCTTTTGTAATTTATATTTTCGATTAATTTTATATAAATTAAATACTATACAACTGTACAAAATAACATTTTAAAATGATAACTATGATAACACTTTATATTTGTTAAGTGAAAATATGATAGAAAATCCTGTTTATACACTTTACTGTAGTAATTTTTACAAGTTATTATTATATATAGTACTGCATAATTGACAACCGCGCTGTCAGTCGAACAAATGAAGACTGCTGCGCGATTGACGCTCTGTATGCGATTTTAACGCCCTATAGGTGCGGACACTATTTATCGCGAACCCGACGTCCATTTGTTAATAGGTCAATGCAATACAATAACTAATATACATACACCGGCACATTTAGTGGATCACTAGTAAAAACCCCAAAACAATGCAGTGTTTTTTCAAAAGATTGAATTGTTATTTCATTTTTTTTATTTTAAGGTCTTTTTTAGGTCTAAGTAGAAAATAAAAAATTTGTCGATTATCATTTTTTTTTTGTTTTAATTTCTTATTAATAATACGGATTTGTGAAGAGGCTTATGGATGATTTTGCGTTCTAGTAAATTTCGTAAATATTACTTGTAAAAGTTTTTTTTTATTAAATTTTGATTTAATCAATACTAAGTGTTACAATATATGGTCCGAAGAAATATATGTAAAACGGCCCTATACAAAAATAGCGTTGTTGATATGGCACCCAAAATATTTAATAAAATTCCAGACGCAATAAAAAATCTTAGTGGAATGCAATTCAAGCATGTATTAAAACAATTATTAATTGACAAATGTTACTATAGCATAGAAGAATATTTCAATGATAGTTTCTTAGAATAGGTAAAAGCTGACAGTTGGGTACCATTTAATTATTAATATTTTTAGACTTTTTAATTATTATTAGTTTTTTTGACATTGTATACATTTTTCTTTTATTTTGACATTACATTTTTATTTAATTGACTTCGTATGCCACTTTACTACTTACTACTTTGTCTAATTCTTATTTATTTAAATATAAATGTTACTATTTTATATTCTAACTTTTCTATTGTTCTGCTAAATGTGCCGGTGTGTGTATATAGTATAACGAAAAATCGCAGCTGAAATTACGAGCGCGCAATTTTACTATTCTTACCTGTCTTGCATATTGTTTTCCGATGCCGTCGGTGCATCCGGTAACCACTGAAACAAAACAAGATCAAAATTATAATTCCTGTTTGTGCACGTTATTATGAACTCATTATACGTTCCACCGCTGGGCATGGTTCTAAGGAGTGTTTAGGCCATAGTCACGCTGAAACAATGCGAGTTCGGGGCAATTTTTTACCAGTAATTATGCATTAAGAATAAGAAGATTAAGAACATAGACGATCTCGGTGATTCAACCGTTTCCACCGTGGGCGTTGGATGAGGAGGTTCCGGGTTCGATTCCCGGTAGGTCCAATTTGAGAAATAATTTTTTGTAAATTGGTTATTGTCTGGGTGTTCTAGGTAGTACAAACTTATCATCATAGTTAAAAAACCCATGAACAGTATTTAGTGTTCAACAATTTACTTACAGCACTCTACGTAATCGAATTTAATAAAAATCTTATTTTAAATTTTGACTGACATTACAAAAATGCTCTTGTGACCCGTGCCCCGAAGTGCAATGTATAATAAGTTGACGACTAATGCAAGGAAAATGTTATTCAAAGTTCCAATCATTAGCCGAAATATTCGTAATGCAAACGGAGAACCTGAAGCGTAGTAATCGTATATTTGGAGATAAAGCTAGTTCCACAATTTACCGAGTTCATAGATTTGCATAATTTGCAATTGATCTGCAAGTCTTAGATGGAAATATAGCCTAATGGTTCGGTAGTAAGCCAACTCTTTTTTATCTGATTTTGTAGGTACGACAGATGGAAATCGTGTATATTGTAAATTTTGTGTACTAAGATAGAAGTGGACCTAACCTAAGCCCTTGAGTTTCTCGTGTCCATAAGTCTTCATACAACGAAGACACTACCTTTGATCGTCACGTGCGAGTGAGTCTTATTTAAATTGAGCGCAGTATATTTGTGAAATCGAGTATATTCAACGTTCAAGTAATAATGTTAACTAATTAGGACAATGGCCTAATGGAATAATAAATAGTATAACACAATAACTTTAGCAACATTTGTAACAATAGTTTTACCGCTAGATGGCAATGGTTCTGATTCGTGGCGTTAAGATTTTCACCCCTTCTCTTACTAGTGTTTGTAACAATAGTTCCAATGTTTACCACTAGATGGCACTGGCATAGAAAACGCAATTTCCGAATCGCGGTGTTAAGATTTTACCAAATGTGACCAGAATTTTGTATGAGATTGATCTGATCTATTTATTCTTCTACTTGTCTAAGTTATTGTTGATCGATTCAACGATTGCATTTCTACGGTTATCCTCATTACTAAGGAAGCATTTCGAACTCGCGCCCATCTTTAGGGACAGGGCCCCGATTCAGAACTCTTCAATATTTTGACCGAATCGTTCGATAGGATATCGTTCTTGAATCGAAGGGCGCTTTCGAAGCTATTCAGAATATTCGAGTTAAACGTTCGATTCGGATTCGGATACGATATCGTTATCCAACAACAATTCTAAATCAGATGTGTGCACATTTTTCATATATTTGATGCATGGGAAGTGTCACATGCTATTGGTGCATTCTGTGACCTTTCCAAAGGCTTTTGATTGTGTGTACCATGATACACTGGTCAGGAAACTTCGCCATTATGGTGTGGCGGGACGTGATCTCGACCTTCTTAAATCGTATTTGCGTGGTAGGATACAGAGGGTCGATGTTAACGGTACGAGATCATCAGGGTCTGCAATTAGCATGGGTGTCCCTGAAGGTTCAATTCTAGGCCCATTTTTGTTTTTAGTTTATATTAATGACTTACCTAGCCTCATGGAGGGTACAAAACATGAAATAGTATTGTTTGCTGATGATACTCCCTTAATATTTAAAGTTAAAAGGCACCAATGTTCCTACGACGATGTGAACAATGCTATATCTAAAGTTGTTGATTGGTTTGCTGTTAATAACCTACTCCTTAATGAGAAAAAAATAAATTGTGTGAAATTGACATTACCCAATGTTAGAGAGACGGTTATTGATTATACGTTCATTAATTATCAATTCCTTAGAATGGGTGGAAAACTTTTTATACCACTATGTTCACTCATCTCTTCAAATAAAAAATTTTAAACCCACATTTCCCGCGACACAGGGTTTCCTTAGTACGGGGCTATGTTGAGTGTGTGCGTTATTGAGTCATTTAGTAGCACTAGATTTCGTGAAAGAGCTCATCCAGTGAAGTGCTGTCAACTTACCTATTTCTGCCGCCAAGCAGTAATGTGAGCATTATTGCGTTTCGGTTTTGAAGCGTATGGGTGCTGTTGAAATTACGGACACATGGGACTTGTTAACTTACGTATCATAGTGACAGGTGTAGTGGCAGTGCACCTCAGAACTTTGTTATTAAAAGATCTGAGTGGTACCGCAATTGCCATAGACAAGCGTGTCGCTTACCATTAGGTTCACAACTTGCCCGGCCCGTCTCTTGCATCACATCACACACGTTAAAAAAAAAGTTATGGCTATGGTGGACAATGGCTATGAACTCATGATATAAAACCAATACCTAATTAAGGGTCTTGTACAGTTTGATGATGATATTATGTGGTTATTGGCTAAGATAATGTTAAAATATTGGCTCTAATATTGTCTCCGGATTGAAAAAAAACAACGCAAATGCACTCGATACTTATACGAGAGAATGTATGGTTATTATCCGCTGCTCTTTCCTTCCTTATTTGTCTACGGAATGGTCGGTCTTGTCACCTTGGAAGTAAGACGTAAAGTTCGCACCGTACTCCATTACGTATTTTTCCTTCGAGGTAAGATGGACAAACCCACACAGAGCAACGTCGATCTGTTTGTGCCAAACAGGTACGTCTGCACGGGCCGATGCCGACATCAATTGTTTGCGCCCCCCGTGCGACACACTCGCCAGGGCTGACAACGCGCCCACGAAACGCGTCGCTAAGGTCCAGGATGCTGACATCTTTTGCGACAATATTGGCAAAAAAATACTTTGCTATATAAGAAGATATAAGGCAAACCTAGCGTATCAAATATGTATGTAGTATAAGTAATTAGCATGTATTCGTTTTGGTTGTTACTGTAAGTTTACATTGTGTCTTTAATAAATAATTAAACGCAAAATAGGCGCCTTGATGTTGAGTTGCGGACACCAGCCCGTTACACCAAGTACCAAGTACCAAATAATTAAATAAATAAAACTACAATGATATTATTGTGTTACACTAAAAACGCAATTGACATTTTGGTCAATGCATGTTGAATGGTGCCACAGACGTTTTTACTAAATTTCAATGCATTTTTAAAGCTGAGTAAATAGTCAAATTATCGTAGTCAGTGTAAAGTATCTTAGTATGCCAAAACAACAATAAATTTGTTGAGTTGGCATACGGAGCTACATTATTCTGTAACAATATGTGGAGTTGATACAGTAGGGAGCTGTCATTTGAATATTAGGGTATTAAACTGTGAGATACAGTTTTCATGTGATATAGTGCCGAGGGTTAAAACGCAGGCGAAGGAAATCCAATAGAATGTAGCTAATGATACCATAATATCACATACAATACCAAGTGACCTAACTTCAAAGTTTTACGAAAATCTGTTATTTACATCACAAAGAATTGTAAGTAACTGGAAGATGTACGTACCCATAAAAGGCAATGTGGTTATCAAAACGTCTAAGTTAATATGATACATTGTTGTCCATTCAAAATTTTCATTAACTTTACATCATTAACAGTGATCTAAAAAGTATACGAAATACAGATTACATCATATCAACACATAGCCTGTAATAAATTTACATTTTTACCAATCACGGGTTTTAAGTTTTCACAACTGTTTTAAAATATTTTAGGACCTGTTTTAAAATCAATTTTAAAACTTAAAGTTAATTAAAACTAAAAATTAATTTTAAAACAGCACGTAACTATTTTAAAACTTTTTTAGCACTTCATGCTATTTATTTTCATGTTTAATTACTCGTTTCGTATAATTATATGAAAAAGCTGACATGTTCAGCGTTATTGGATACTGGTTGTATTTTTTATAATATCAAATGACCGGAGGAATACGTCTTGGCAATGGTAGTTAGCGACACGCCTACCCATAACAGTTGTTCAAAGATAACCGTTTCATACGACGAAGACCTACATCCACGGTTGATTAACGAAACATTGTTATAAAAACCTGGTGGTAAGCGACACGCCTGCCCGTAACAGTTACAGTACCAGTCAGTGCTTTAAATCACAAAGATTTGAGGGGCACTGCCACTGCGCCCGCAACCCTGAGACTTAAGTCGAAAAGTTCCATGTGCCTGTAATTTCACCGGCACCTCAAAACCAGAACGCAGTATCACGTTACTACTTGGCGGCAGAAATAGGTAAGGTGGCACTACCTTCCTGGACGAAGGCAACGTATTCCCAGTATTGAGTAACTTAATGCAATAATTAAAGTTTTATTTTATGATATCTAATGACGGGAGGAACAAGTCGTGCGCCTGGTTGTAAACGACAACACTTAAGCATAACAGTTGCAGTCAGAGCTTTAAATCTCAAGGTGTGAAGCGCATTGCTACTGCAACCGGCACCTTGAGATATGAAGTTAACAAGTCCTGGAATGCTGGGCGACAGAAAAAAATAGTGATCGATCGATATCATAACAATCTTCAGAGAAGTGTCCGCATTTGACCTCCAGCTTTCCTGATGGAAAGTGATGATGAGGTCGACGATGGCGTATGCTCATCTAAATAATAACTATTCAGTATCGCCTTGAAAATTCCCAATTATAGCATTCGGGGAATAAGTCTGCAGGCAGGGAATTCCACTCTCTAGCTGTTCGGAATATAGAAGAGAAACGCTTTGCGTGAATGCTACTTAGTACAGGGATAGCTCAATAAAGCAACATTTGTTTACTTCACGTACGCGTGCGATACGTTCGCTGACACTACTGTCTATTCTATTCTATTTCCTTAATGGCCGCCACTAGGCTTGGGCCAGTGTCAGTTTCGATTAATGTTGTCAGTTAATATTGATCAATAACGTCA